TTCCCGACGTGCAGCATGAACAAATCAAGTTTAGATGATACTTGTTCGTATCAAAAATACTCAGAGAAAAATTACAAATTTAACAACTGAATTTGAAACGAGGTTAATGATTTTAGTTCCCTCGAAGACAATTTTTTTTTTTTTTTTTGTTTTCTTCGATTTTCTCAATAAGTATTGACTCAGTACCCAGCCATATGCAAATGGAGGTGATCGAGATTCAATGCAACTCAAATTTGAAAGCAAAATTCATTGAAGTGGGCATGCCTGAATTTTACAAATATTTACCAGCCAGGTTTGAAAATACTCGAAAATTCGAATATGAAATTATTTCCATGTTTGGTAGCACTTATCGGTGCGAGCAGTTATTTTCAGTCATGAAAGGTAATAAGTCTCCTATTAGAAACCGTATTAATGATGCTCACCCTTGGATCAGCGTTGAAAGTTATCACTGCAAACAAAATTTCTCCCGAAATAGGAAAGATAATAGCAGAGAAGAGATGTCAAGTATCAGGATGTAAACATTAAATTTTTGTTCTTTTCTATATAATATAATGTTTATTATTGTATTATTCGAAATAAATCTACGTTTCTATAAATATTGCTTTTTTTTTTTTTTTTTTTTTTTTTTTTTTTTTTGCGGCCCGCCTAAAGTTAAACCTTGTTTGTTTGGCCAAGTGTACCTATGAGTTTGACATCCCTGGTGTAGAGCATTGATTGATCCAAGCAGCCAAGCTAGTTTGATTACAGAAAAATGTATACAGAGATTCATTTACACAGAGATACAGATTATGGTTACTGAGAAGAAATGCGAAAGTTTTTCATGTTTAGGAGGGTTGAATATGAAGACTAATGGAATTGCACAAATAAATTTCATCTCGTATTTTCCAGCGAAAGTGTCATTTACAACACCAGTATTTATCATCAATAGAATAATTGGAACATTGCCGCATTTTACATTGAATAAGAACATTGAGGTATATAATGATTTAATGTTGGCGGATCCAATATTCTACTAGAGTGAAGCCTGTTGATATACTTTTAGGCGTAGATATCTCTTTACCTCTTTTGAAGGGGTAAACCAGTAGTTTCTCGTTCTGAACTAGGATGGATTATTTCGGGTAGTGTGAATACTTCAACACAGGTTAAACCCCACTATCTGTGTGAATAACATACAGGTGGAAATGGAGCAGTTGCTGTTTAGTTTTTGGAAATTATAATTCTGTACCTACTTTGATATGGTTAAACAATTCGGAGAGAGCATGTGAAGATTACTTCAAATATACATTTACGAGAGAGGAAAGTGGTGTATATATTGCGAAATTACCGGTTCATTCTTCACCTTCTCAGTTTGGAGATTTGAGACAGTTAGGCTATGCGTAAATTCAAGTCTTTAAGAGAATTCAGTTTTAAAACGGCTTCAGATACATGACAAATATAAGGATTTCATGAGGGAATACCTTGAGCTGTGACATTTGGAAAGAATGCCTGAGAGAGAGATTTTTACTGATTCTGCGTACTACATGCCTCATCATGCTGTCTTGAAGGAATCAAGTACTACTCCTAAGCTGAGAATAGTATTCGATGCTTCAGCTAGAACAACGTCGGGACTTTTATTAAATGTCCATTAAAGTAAATTATTAAAAATTTCATGGTTGTGCCAAGAGTTCAGCAACAGCTGTTTCCAATTCTTCTACGGTTCAGAACTTACAAAGTTGCGGTATGTACCGATGTAGAGAAGATGTTGAGACAAATTCGAGTCACCTAGAAGATATGAATTGGCAACGAATACTATGGAGGGATAGTCCTAGTAAGTCCTTGAGTCATATTCATTCACATTAGTAACAGTTACGTATGGGACTGCCTGTGCACCATATTTGTCTACTAGAGTAATGAAACAATTGATTAGATGAAAAGTCAGAGCCATTGCCCACCAGCGGCAAAGGCTGAAACTGGTAGTTCGGTCTTTTGTTCGAATCCGCGAACGGGCTGGCTGCATGGGCGTTTTCGTGGTTTTCCCCATGTGTAACGTGTATACGAGCCAGTTTCCCTTAGAAAGTCCTCCACGAAGGCATCCCTCCCCTAAGCTATGTTTGCATAATTAAATACACCACACCACCCTTTGCCATTATAAATTGTCCTTCGTGACTTTTATGTAGATGATTTACTTTCAGGAACACGAAGTGAAGAGGAAGGAAAAGTTTTAGTGTAGCAGTTAACTGGAATGACGGGAAGGAATGGATTTCGCTTAAGGAAGTGGATTTCGAATAGTTCAGCTATTTTAGAGAATATTCCTGAGTGGTTCTGAAAACCCAGTACCTCTATGGAAATAAAAGGTGATAAGAAAGAGAAGGTATTGGGCATTAATTGGAATACCTCTAGTGATAAATTTCATCTTTCAGAGTGCATAAATGCTAAGGAGTTCACCAAGATAACTATTTTATCAGAGATAACAAAATTCTTTGATCCAATGGGATGGTTAGCGCTAACAATGATATACGCGAAAATACTATTACAAGAGTAATGAAGTTTACATCTTGGTTGGGATGAAATCGTTGAAAAGAGAATAAGCAAAAAAGTTGAAGCGTTTCTACTTAGAATGACCCTTTTTATCAATCTTGCAAATTCCGAGTTATGAATTGAGTTCGAAGGCAATAATTATAGACATTCCTGTTTTTTGTGAGAATTCATAAAAAGCTAATTGTACAGTCATCTACTTCAGGACAATCAGCTCTTATTCTTCAGTTAAGGTAAGCCAAACTAGAGCTGCTGCCTTAAAAACCCGTCTCTTCCACGACTACAGTTGTATGTTGCGTTACTTTTAACCAAGAATGGTTGGAAGAGATGGAGTCGTGAGTATTTGTCTAGGTGTCATAAGAGACCTAAGTGGTGTAAGTTGCATTAAGATCTGAAAGTTGGCGATATAGTCCTCATTAAGAACGAGAATCCACCTCCACTATGCTGGAAATTAGGTAGAATTGTTAAAGTGTATCCTAGTCTAGATGACAGAGTTTGAATGGTGATTTTACACACTTCCAATTCTGAAATAAAGAGAACTATATCAAAACTATGTCCTTACCCATTTAATTATTGGAATTACAGACTTCAATTTTTTTATTTTTCAGGTCTATTTAGTTTTGATAATTTACAGGTCTATTTAGTTTTGATATTTATTTTTCGAACCCACTTGGGATTTCAAGGCTAGGGTATGTTTGTTGCTTTGCAAATTGTATTTCTAGTCATTGACCTGAAGAGCGGCGCAAATGCAAATTAGTGAAGTTCTTAAGCGTGCGTTGGAGCTTCAAGCGGTTACTCAAGTTCCAACGACGCAGATGTTATCTTGAGACGCACTTTTAAAGCAAACGGTTTGCTGTGTCCTTGAGTCGCTATTCCTCAGCCAACGTAATATTTAGAAAGCCAATAAACGAAATTCGGTCAAGTTATGTAGAGATTTCTTGAGTCCTATTGAAGGCACAATCGCAAGTCAACCTTGTAATCCACTAACCATTAACGACTGATTATATATCTTAGTTTCGTGTATTTCTACAGAAGAAACACAATTTATTTTATTGCATTTCGCTTATGATTAATTAATACATTAAGATTTTATACTTCAACATTATTTTTACACTTCGTTCTATCACGTACTTTATCAGTCCAAAGGACTATCTGGCTATAGCATCTAGGTCGAACACGCCGCGGGGATAACGACGCAAGGAGAAAACTTCGACGTAAAATGCATTATGATGAAAGGAAGATAAAACTTTGCAGATTTAAAACATCGAACATTGTCGTCGCAAATAAATTTGGCAAAATATCGCGCTTTAAATGTATCGTCCTAAAGAAAATTCGCGATAAGAATTTAGGAAAAATCATTTTCTAAAACAATCATTTATTTAAACGTACTGAAATAACTGAACTAAGATGAAAAAAATAATTTTTCGTCTTGGTTAAACGCAAACAATACATTCAACAATAATCTTTACTAAAAAAAACACAAATCTGTATTAGGGGTAATAAAAACATATGACTTCTGTATAAATTTATAGATGTAATGTTTTATATACAAGACAGTTTAATATTTTTGACAGTGCAGCTGAATCAAGCGATTCCCCCCCCCTTTTTTTTTGTCTTCCGATATAATTTGAAATACGAAATCAGCACGTTTAAAGCACTTATTTTGAAGTATAATGTTTCTGTTAAACACTGAACTGTACACTCTTCAAATGGACGCGTTAGTGAATAATTTCGATGGCTTAATGTGAATAATCATTAATGCTTTTGAGTGAAGTATCGTTGATACCAAATTTGAATAGGGAAGGGACCTCGCATATTTAAAAGCGTAAAGCAGTCTCAGTGGCTTTGGGGCTAACAGAATACTGGTGGGCTGGAAGTACTTTGCATTGGAAATGAACGTTCCCATTGTTGGACTTGTCAGATCGGTCGCCTGAAACTTGATAAATTTCACCATCATGAGACGGCAATCTGTTATCTTGCTCCTATTCCATTAGAATGTGTTAAACTTCAAGTATTCGTTTATTTCAAATTGCAACATAATTATTTTCAATTTTAAAGCAAAACTGAAGTCGTGACATATTTAATCAGAAGTCAACGGGCAAGATAATGTTTCGGATAGTCAAAAGTAAATTAGAAGTTCAAAGAAATTATATAACCCTATATCGATTCAAAATTAATACCTCTTCCCTGGATTAAACAAAATTAACACAAAAGCATCAATTTAATAAAAAAAAAACTGCAAATTGTTAGAACGAAATTTTAGAATATGAATTTCTAAGAATTACTGCTGATTGAGACAAATGCTACTTGAAATATTTACTCTGCATCCGTCTACTTATTTCATTGGAGCTCGTATATACAGGTTTGCTACTAATATTTCAATTTCTATGTTGAAAAGATATGTAAACTAAGAACACAAAATTGTAAATACTTCAAAAGAATTCCCTACGATGATAGGGAAAGAAAATATTTTTAGCATTCCCTACCTGTACATTTCCCGTCATTATTCACTGAATATCGTTTCGCACAGTCACACTTCTTTTTGTCATTTTTATCAAATGAGCACGTTCCCTTTTCTCCACAGTCACATGCTAAGAGAAAATAAAAATTATTTTATTACACTGCTGAGATTAAAGTTACGCAATATTTTTTATAATTGATATTAAAGACAAGACTGCTATAAAAATGTATAAATATTCTATAAGACAAGAAGCGTTTAAGATAGTATGTGTATTTAAGAACAAAAATTGTGTAAATTTGTTGAAACAATTTATGGAAATATTTTGAGCGATCGTTAACTACAAGGAATCCAGTAATCCTGCTTTTTCATAAGGCTATCCAGGCGCAGTATTAATAATGCTGTTTCTGAGAAATGAAAGTTCGCCGCATTTGCCAAATAATCCAATCAATGAAATGCTGTATCTGACATTGCAGATTGTCCATCTTTTTTTTTTTTTTTTTTTTTTTTTTTTTTTTTTTTTTTTTTTTTGGGGGGGGGCACTGCTGAAGGCAAAACTTCTGTTAGAGTTTGGTCTTTCAGGCAAACAAAATCCGCTGTTTCATTTTTCCCACAACAGTCCCCTTTCAAACTTTATTTTGAATGATCCTTGATTTAAAAAAAAAAAAAAAACCCTTTTTTAAAGTGGTTTTCTGAACTTTGATCAGAAACTGAATTGAAAACTCAAATTTAACGGATTCCGACTTCCTTAACTTTAAAACATTAAACGCCTTCTCCAATCCGCCATAAGTACTTAGTTTGACTTATTATAACTTACATGAGATGCAACGGTTCCCTCTATTGCCGCAGTGAATGCTTGAAAGCAAACTAATACCTACACGTACAAAATACTTTAACTTTCATCTCGACACCTTTTTATAGGCACTTGACATACGTCAAACAGTAAATTTCCTTCGTAAGAGTCTTTCTTGTGCTTTAAATATTTCCGTACTAGCACAATTGCATATTTCATGCTCGCTTTAGGCCGTTTACACGTCTATGGTTTCAACTAGTAATTGACAATAATTTATATTTTTATGTCATAAATATTAACCGTTAATGACTCAAAATTATAAATCTATTCTATACTTTCAGAACACGCTATGTGATTTTTACTCTAAATCGCACCTTAATGTCGTCTTTACGCTCTCATGTTGAAAATTATTTTCATACGTTAAAATAATATTTATCTAAATGAAATACTTTATCTACAATGATATGTAATTAAACATGATTTTAAATAGTAAGTTCTAAAGAAAGGACAGATCGGATGCTAGGGAGGGAGATTTGGATAGGTAGAAATCTACATCAAATGAAAAATGTCTAATACAAATAGGACGTTTAAAAAGAAATATAATGTTTCATGTATTTTTCCCAAACACTGCCTGAAATCACAGGCGAATAAGGAATTAAATCTTCGTTTCGTAAATTTCTACAGAAGAAACACAATTTATTTTATGGCATTTCGCTTAAGACTAATTATTAGATTAATATTTTATACTTCATTACATTACGCCTTGTTTTACCACATATTCTTTCACTCCAAAGGACTGTCTGATGGTAACATCTAGAAACGCAGCCGAAATAACGACGCAAGGACAAAATTTTGACGTAAAATGCATTGTGATAGAAAGGAAGATAAGGAAAGCTTCGCAATTTTAAACGTAGCTGTACAAATCATCATGGTCGCAAATAAAAACTTCGCAATATATTGTAGTTTAATGTATCGTCATAAAATATTCGCGATAAAAACTTAGGAAAAATTATTATCGAAAACAATCATTTGTTAAAACTGTTAAAATCATAACTGAACTAATTAGGAAAAAATTATTTTGGTACTTTTCCGTTTTGCCGGCGCAAGCGATAAAGTCGCCAATAATGGTACAACCGATGCCAAACGGAATATTCTCGCTGGTAACCTTTTACGCCTCATTTTCAAAAACAAGTCGCAGCTTTTTCGAATCAGATTGATTTTTTTCAATACTGGCATAAAATTACATAGAATTTTTATCAGATAGTTCAGTTTTATGTCTAAGGCCATTTTCGGATATTAAGTCAATTAGGATGCAATCACAGCGCTTACACGAAGCCGAAAGTATAGAAAAGTCAAGGGTTAAATTCATCAATTCTAATGAGAATGCATTAGCGAAGTAAAGCAATGCAGTTTTACATAATTTCTGAGTAAGCTATTCGTACGAATTGAAATATTTCTTGCATTTAAACTTGTGTTCCAAATTAAGATTTAACTTGAAATTAATGTAGATAATTACTGAGAGCATTAGATTTTTGTAGAGTAGTTTACGTGAGATGAGATCGCTTGGGGTCACGTGATATGAACCAGCGAATCAGGATGTTGAACCATGAAAGCATAGTAAATTCTTAATTTAATGTCTTTTTACAAATTTATTGTCTTTTTATTGGCTTTTTATAAAATTTTTAGCGATATTAAATGTTTATGCCTTAAACATTTTACTTCAAAACAAGAATTCTTAGAAGTAACATTTTTTTTAATATTTTTTATGTGTATACTGTATGTTGTCGCCAATAAAGTCTGCTTGGCGAGATTTGCGTCGGCGAAACGGAAAACTACCATTATTTTTTATGGTTTAATAATAAGAATACATTAAATAATAATCTTTACTAAAAGATCTACAAGTCTGTATCGTGATTAATAGAAACATATGACTTCTGTATAAATTTTTAAAGTAATGTTTTATATTCTTGACAATGCAGCTCAATCATTCGATTTCCCTTTTTGGTCGTTCGACATGATTTGAAATGCGAAATCAGCACGCCTAAAACACTAACTTTTACGTGTAATGTTTCTGTTAAACATTTAGCTTGTAAATCGTCAACTGGACGCTTTAGTGAATAATTTCGGTGGCTTAATCAGAATAATCGTTAACACTTCTCCAGTGAAGTATTGAAGTATCGTTGATACCGAATTTGAATAGGTAAGGGGCTCGTATATTTAAAAGCGTATTGAGTCTCAGTGGCTTTTGGGGTAATACAATAAATACTGTTGCAATGGAAGTACCCTGCTTTGGGAATGAATGTTCGCAATGGTGGATTTGTCAGATCGGTCACAAGCAACTTGAAGAAATTTAACCATTATGCGACAGCAATCTGCTTTTTTTGCTCGCACTCTATTAGAATATGTTAAACTTCAAATATTCGTTTATTTCAAATTGCAACATAATTTTTTTTTCCAATTTAGGCAAGTACTTAAGTCGTTACACATGTAATCAAAAATTAAGAGGGACGAAAATTAGTTTCATAATATTTCGGATCATTAAAAGTGATTTAGATGTTTAAAGAAATTATATAACCGTATATTAATTCTTATAAAATTATTTTAAATATTAATTATATAACCGTGTATTAATTCCTATCCCCCGAACTAAGGAAAATTATCATAAGAGCATCAATTTGAAAACGAACTGCAAATTGTTAGAAAACATTTTAGTTTATGAATGTCTAAGAGTTTTTTTTTTTTTTTTTTCCTGATTGAGACATATACGGTGTATTTGTGTGCTTGTTTCATTGTAACTCTAAAACACAGCTTTGCTACTCATATTTCAATTTCTATTTTGAAAAGATATCGAAACTAAGAACAAAAAATTGTAAATAATTCAAAAACAATTTCCTACTATGATAGGAAAAAGAAAAGGAAAATATTTTTAGCATTTCCCTACCTTCACATTTATTGTCTTATTCACTGAATACCCTTTCTCACAGTCACAGTTCTTTTTGTCATTTTCGTCGAATGAGCACTTTACCTTATGTCCACAGTCACATGCTAAGAAAAAATAAAAATTAATTTATTTATACTAGTTAGAAGTTACTTAATAAAAAAAGAAAAATTTTTTGGTACTTACTTATTAACGCAACCAGGCCAAAATTCGCATAAATCGCCAAATTTGGCGACCCTACTTACGGCAACCTTATGTTAGTTAATTAAAGCGAGGTGTGCGTAGTTCGTAGATTCGTTCGTTGCCTACATTGTGCCATTCGTAGATGTTTTTTTAAGTTCAAACATGTCGCTGTGTACATGTCTATATTTCGAACTTTAAGCCTAAAATGTCTCCAAAAACGCTGTTTTCGCACATGCAAAAACTACGTTTTTTTTGAACACACGATTTAAGCTAAAAATCCGAAACAAAAACAAAAAATTTAGATAGCAAAAACGTAAAGTTTCTAAACCAAAAATATTTGACAAGAATCCATGTACACAGCGACATGTTTTAACTTAAACATCTACGAATGGCACAATGTAGGCAACGAACGAACGAATCTACGAACTACGCACACCTCGCTTTAATAAATTAACATAAGGTTGCCGTAATTAGGGTAAACAATAATATCAAAACTGAATTAAAAAATTATCTGTAATTAATAAATGGTACATTTTCTTTCTATTCATACTTTTTTACTCAAACTTACAAATCGCACCAACCTGGTTGCGATAATACGTAAGTACCAATTTTTTAAATAATTTATGTTAATGACAAGTCTGTTACCAAAATATGTAAATATTCTATAAGACAAGAAGAGTTTAAGAAAGTATGTGTATTTATTTACTAAAATTTGTAAGTTTGTTGCAGCAATTTATGAAAATATTTTGATCGATCGTTAGTCACAGGTCAGAGGTGATGTAGGACGTGGACGCTTGATGTGTCCCATGCCCTCCACTGTCTAGTGGCAACAACTCCTAGGGCGTTAATTCAGATCTTAAGTTAAAAAGTGGGTTATATTACCATACAAGTGCGTTAGTTGTTTTACAGATAATTGTGACTTAACAGTGGTGGTTGATTGGCTGCACTGATACAATAAAATGCACAGAAATATAAATATGACACTTGAATATAACATATACAAAACACATAAATAAATAAATCACATAAATTCAATTATAGACATTTATAGACATAACTTACCAATATATATAATCATATGAATACAGCACAAGGTACAGGCTAGGACCGGAATACAAAATGGTAAATAAGGAATGCTTAATACATCCTATGGGCTAAGTGCTAAAAAGGTGGCGTTTTTTTACAGTATGATAGACGATACAAAATTGTGTTCCTAAATGCAGACACTGATACAATAAAATACACATAAATGAAACATTGATACAATAAAATATGCATAAATACAAATATGACACATAAATATCGCATATATAAATAAGTACAGCGCATAAATACAACTTATTACTAGAATTACGAGCATTTATAGATATAGCTTGCTTAAGATATGTAATCACACGAATATATATTAGAACGTGAGTACGAAATGCTAATTACGGATACTTAATATTTGCAATATGCTAAGCGCAAAAAGGTTGCGTTATTTACGATATGAAACACAACACAAACTTGTGCTCTTAAAA